CTGTAGGTTCATGTTGAGAGCGCGTTATTGGATTCAGAGCCTCACGGTGCGGTAGGACCGGATTGTCTCGTTGAAGGTAGGGGCTGGATGTATTCATGTAAAGCCATGTTTACCATCATCATATTACTGTTGCCATTTCCATACTTCAGTAGTTCTTTCTGTATCTGGTTTATTGCGATGTTTTTACAGACTGTTTGAGAACAACTTGAGGTAATCATTTGAATACTCCGATTGCTGGAGTGAGTAAGTGAGTAAGTTTAGTTTTACTCCACTTTTATCAATATTCCAGCAATATCACGGCTAGGGACACCAGAACATACTGCTGGATGTTTGGGGGCATATAAAGAATATGCTGCGAAACTACATGGTATTAGTTTCGGTATGTTAACAATGTTTAAATAACCTAAAGGAATTGGTAAAATTCCTCGGACGATGCAGTGATTCGCGTTAAATCTGTATAACACATCTGGACAAAGCAGCGCATGTCACCTGATTTGTATGAGGTAATTAACTTTATAAATATTTTGTCTAAATACAGCTATATTTTCAACTGAAATATTCCCCATATTATTTTCCATGGAATAGTTGCAAAGAAACAGATTTGGCAACTTTCTGTAGACGTTTTGATACTTTGGATGTGTTTTCGTTTTTCACATATATCTGGATATAAATATGAATGACGACTTTTCCAAAGGACGAGATACTGATTACATGACATTGAAGCTGACGCTTGTAAGTGTATGTAAACGACACAGTTGATAGTCCTACCAGAGGTGTCCTCATGAAGTGACTGACAAACTACATGGACAGTTCTTTGGTTTTGGACCCGTGAAGACCCGGGTTAGAATTGATCTTCAGTAACCCATGCTTGTCGTAAGAGACGACTAACGGGATCGGGTGGTCAGGCTAACTGACATGGTTGACACATGCCATCGGTTCCCAATTGCGCAGTTCGATGCTCATGCTGTTGATCACTGGATTGTCTGGTCCAGATTCGATTATTCACAGACCGCTGCCATACAGCTGGAAAATTGCTGTGTGCGGCGACAAAATAAACTCACTCACTCACTCTTTGGTTTTGATGCAGATAATCAGAAGAGAAACCAGACAGCGCACACGTGCGAAGATAAAAATCAAAGGTTACTTATTTTTCTCGTGGAAACGGGTCGATTATACAACCTTGGTTACAAGGTCCGTTCATGGCGAAGGCTGTTAGAATTGAATTTCCCACATGGGTTCAATGTGCATGTATGTGAATAAAGCCAAACCTGTATGTCCGATCCATACCACTGCTCGTGGGTGTAAATAAATTCTTCGACCTGAATCAAGATTCTCCTGACATGACTTATCTATACTACCCTCAAAGGTTTAGACTCACTAGTGTAAATGTAGCCACTTACTTCAGTCAACTGTTCTAAACTAGATTTTGCAAAATATTCCATAATATTTAAAGGTACTGTTTGTACTGATGTACGTTGTTGATATCTCCGATATGTTTACACAGCGAACGTTATAACCAATCGAACTCGGCCCTGTGGGTCACCGGAGGTTGGTAGACTCATACATAAGAAGCATCCAAGTTCCAAGACTCCTAAAAGTTTTGACACAGACATGTTTCCATGTTTTGCCGTATTTGTACATGTGTATTAATCAAACACTGCACAAACGACAACAAAACATATGTGTCAACAGGCACTGTTAGCGACTCTTGTCCACAGAAAAGGTTACCATACTACTAGTATATCTATTTGATCGTCACAAACATTTATACAGTATATGAAATCAACGAATATGGGTTTTTTTACAAGATGTATCATTTGAAGTTCATATGTTTGAAAAGAATGAAATATGAAATCATGAAAGAACTTTACTGTTTAAATACTGCTTCTATAGTTTAAAGGAACTTTAGGCAAAAACTAATTTTTGTTTCTTGAATAAACATCAAATGTTTCGTAGACTGGCGCAATGGTCCATTTCAGAAGTCAACTGACACACTAAGTATCAAGAAATGTGTCTGGTTTTCTTGATAATATTCGTGTTTTGTGAAATGGCCGACATAAAACATACATATTTACATTGCATTAAATCCAAAGCTTGAAGCGATATGTTACATCGGACGATGGAACAGCGTACACTCAGTTTCTTCCTCCACTTCCTGGGAAGTTTGCAAAACACGTTGCCAGTGAATTTTTTTAATCTTTTCTTAATTTGTTGGGTTTTTTACGTTGTTTTTGTGGGGTTTGATTTTTTGGCTCTTCGTTTGCCCTTTTTTGTGTGTGTGCGTTTTTAAATCATTGCCTTCATTTTGTGGTTTCTTATCGTCTTTTGGTTGTTTGTTTTATTTTTTTGGTTTGTTTTAGTTCAGGTTTTTTGTGTTGCTAATTTTGCTTGTATTAGTTGTTTTAGGTTATGTATGTATGTATGTATGTATGTATGTATGTATGTATGTATGTATGTATGTATGTATGTATGTATGTATGTATGTATGTATGTATGTATGTATGTATGTATGTATGTATGCATGTATGTATTCATTCGCAGGGCTGGGGTGGTTAATGTGTGGCATTTTAAACGAAATGACTTGCAGAAGGCTAGAATTACACTAAAAATATTTGGAATGTTTTTCTGTGTGGGATGGTCAAAGCCCTAGAAATGTGAGGGAGTCCAGCCGATTAAAGCTGAGACATGCACCAGTCTGCCATGGTGCTGTACGACGGGATGTTGACGCTGTGCTCCTACAACTGTTATACTGTCGGTCGTGGATGGGCTTTATGGGGCACTGAGACGGTTAATAGCTGCAACTAGACGCTTACAGATAGTATGTATCGGACACTGAATGTCCTGCAATCAATATATCATTCGCGATCAGACAGAATCATTAAATCTGCTGTTAATGAGTTCAGTCATTTCAGATGACAATGTCCCGCTGATGTGCTGTCTGACAACCATTACAGAAGTAATCAATGCACCAGGAGCTACTCTATCACAGCGTTAGAGCGTTAGACGACTGGTTATGTGTAGCAGAGGCGGCTTCTACTGACTGCTTGAAGGGGTATCTGCAACAGAGGCTACCACTTTACCAGAGATATTTAGCAGGGGCTACTTATGAGCACTTGGAGAGAGTTTTAGCCTGGGCTACTGATGACTACTTTTAGAGAGATATGTAGACGGGGCTACTTATGAGCACTTGTAGAGAGTTTTAGCAGGGGCTACTGATGACTACTTTAGAGAGAGATATTTAGAAGGGGCTACAAATGGGTACTTGTAGAGAGATTTTTAGCTGGGGCTACTGATGACTACTTTAGAGAGATATTTAGAAGGGGCTACTAATGAGTATTTGTAGAGAGATTTTTAGCTAGAGCTACTGATGACTACTTTTAGAGAGATATTTAGCTGGGGCTACTTATGAGCACTTGTAGAGAGAGATATTTAGCAGGGGCTACTAGTAAGTACGTGTAACAAGATATGCATTGGCGACTATGACTGACTGTCGGTAGGGCATATGCAGGCTGGGCTACTAGTGACTGCTTGTATGGGTATATCTTCACGAGGTAACAACTGGCTCCTTGTCAATGTTCATTGTTTTCTGTGGTTGTAATGGGTTATCCCTGTCATTGGCAAATGACGTTATCCTCATCCACGGTGATCCTCAACTTGGGTTATCCTTGGGTTATCCTTGACCTGGCTACCCACATCCTTGGTAGTCCACGGTCATCTTCACCGTGTCTATCCTTGTCTTGGAACACCCTAGCTCTGGACTGTCACGATTCTTTCTCTGATGTCCTCAGCGTATAAGGCTAGAGCTAAACACGGCAATCTTTTTATATCCGTACCTGACCGTAATGTTCTTTGGATACTGGTTAAAACGGAGCTTTGGATCATGTGTCGGGTGCGTGGTGGTCCTAAACGACATGGTAACCTCGTCCCTTTACCAGTAGGAGAACCACAGAACAAAGCTATCTTATCTTCCTGAGTGCCATGACTGATTGACAAATGTCATAAGTACACGCACCAAAGGCACTGCTCAAAGGGTCTCGTCAACTCATTGTAGGACTCCTCGCAATACAAATATAGATACAAAAGAGTGTACACAACCATGTTTGATGGTAGTCTAGAATTTCAACCATGTTTGCTGGTAGCCTAGAATTTCAACCATGTTTGATGGCAGCCTAGAATTTCAACCCTGTTTGATGACAGCCTAGAATTTCAACCCTGTTTGATGATAGCCTAGAAATTTCAACCATGTTTGATGGTAGCCTAGATTTTCAACCATGTTTGATGGTAGCCTAGATTTTTAACCATGTTTGATGGTAGCCAGGAATCTCACCTATGTATGATGGTAGCCTAGACTTTCAACCATGTTTGATGGTCGGTAAGTTGAAGGAAATAAGAAATGGTTGTTCGATGGAGGCATATTTAATACAATCAAATCATAATTGTGTTCCCTATATTTTACGTAATATGTAGTATATGCATCTATAGTAAACCTCTGTTGAAAGTATAACCCGTTCCTTTATTCTTTTCTTCACAAGCTTTGTATGGCACTGTGGATGAAAATCTGAGAGTGAATAAAGGAACACTGCGATGCAGTTGTGTTCGCTTATTTGTTTCCCTCAGTATATTTATTAGTGTTTACTGGGTGTTGATTAATGTGTGAAGAGTGAGTGAGTGAGTATGGTTTTACGCCGCTGTTAGCAATATTCCAGCAATATCACGGCGGGGTACACTAGAAATGGGCTTCACACATTGTGCCCATGTGGGGAATCGAGCCCAGGTCTTCTGCGTGACGAGCCAACGCTTTAACCACTAGGCTACCCCACCGCCCCTAATGTGTGAAGAATACGGGATACGATTTGACACATGTAATTATGTAACGCAAGGCGCGATATAGCTGGAATATTGCTGAGTGTGGCGTTAAACAAAAAAAAAACATAGATGGAATATATTACATGAAATACAGGCGTGCCATATAGTTATAATATTATTCTTTTATTTTTCAGATAACTGAGCAGCACGGATTACGATCATCGTGAAGATCCCCGACACAAGAGTCCCTTCAACTGTTCAATGGGACTGTTGTAACGTTGCTGTGTATTTGCTCCTGGACACGACAAACGAGGAAGAGGCAAAACAACCGGTTATAAGAAGCAGAACAGTTTCATGTCCACGATGTCTGTGTAGTAGGCCGAGAGCGTTGAGCAACCTGTTTTGTGGGTACACGTCCAAAGGGGCACCATGGATTTAGAGGCTGTGAGAGTGTTGGCGTGGCCGGAGTTCCTGGCTTGCCCGGGCCAGCTTCACCAAGCCTTCACGAAGGAGAATGGTCAGTTGACCTATGATTGCCAGTTCGTGTTTGACCTCACTACGCCACTGGCGGCGGAACAGGTTGGAGTAGGATACCATCTCCAGAAGTAAGTGAGGATAATTGCGTTTGTGTGAGCAGGTGTGTTGAAAATGTCGTCATCCTCTGATATGTGGGGACGTTCCTTAACTTGATAGCTTTCGGGGTTGCGGTTGCTGTGGTTGCGGTTGAGGTTTCGTAGTGCTCAATATGGTTGCGTTGCGTTGCATTGCGTTGAGTTGGGTTACACTGTGTTCTGATGCGTTGCGTTTCGTTGCGGTGCGTTGCGATTCAGTGTGTTCCTTTGCGGTCTTGTCTGGCGTGGCGTGGCGTGGCGTGGCGTGGCGTGGCGTGGCGTGGCCCAGTGCGATGTGATACTTTCGCATGTGAATATGCGTCGAACAAATAAGGTTGCGTTGGACAGACATAAATAAAACTTGCTATAACCCGCAAATTGCCCGGACACACTCCCTCCTATATACAGCAATGTTAGCCTTAGCATACCTCAAGCAGGGTTCGACCTTTCGGAAATAGGATTGACTTTTCTGATGTCAGAAAGACGGTGTATTGTTTTGAAGACGGGGAATATATAGACACAACACAAGTGTTGATATTAACCAGGCGCTGGCTGGTACCTACTTGTAATCTGACTGGATGTCATTAAACCAGGACTGGGTGATCATCTCTTGCTATCCATCCCTCAGTAATGTTTCTTACATTTACGTAGCGTAGCTCAACATTCAAATTACATGGCCTCAGTATGAGCTTTTAAATGTTTGTTTTGATCAGTATATTTTAATAATTCCAATTTTTTATCTATGCCGTGTTTGGCTTTGCGTGTGTTTATGACCGGTGGGCCTGAATACGGTCAGGTTGTCGCGAACACCTGGTATCATCACAATCTGATAGTGATTCATTTACATTCGTTCACGTTATAGTGAAATCCTGGAATGGACTGCGATTTAAGCACATTTTGATTATGCTCAATCACAGCAGTTTGCTAACCATAATATATTTGGTGAAAAGGACGTAAATCGCCTCAATCAATATGTCCAATTTCAAAACTTTCAGAAAAAGACAGAACAGCTTTCGATAACTCAGTGTTTTCATTTGTTTGCTTATATTTCGGATTGTTTTACATGATCCGTGTTCTCCTAGCTGCAGTTTCGCCACGTTCTGAGATACTAGCGTTCTGTGGAAATGTAAACCGTGTCCGGCATTAGGCGATGGGTGTTAATACTCTATGGTCTTGATTCCCTTGTATAGATTGTACTGAGGACGCATTGAAGGGATGGCTAATTGCCTTCACCTCCTGATTGACAGTTACAATATATCTCACTCAGTCGCCTTTAGATATATCTAATTACAGGGCATGGTGTCTGCTAGGCGATTAAGCCCCAGATTCATCCCGGACAATTGGCAATGCGATCTGACTTATTGAAGGAGTCGGCCCTCTTCCTCGTCTACCCAGCTGAAATAGTTGTTGGATTCACGGAAAGCTCGAAGAAACCCTCGCCCTTACTTAGACACGCTCTCCATTTCAGCCTTTTATCGTCTATAACCTTCCACACATTAAGCTTCTATCTTCTACAAACATCTCAACTTAAAGCTTCGATTGTCCACAACTAGCCCAACGAATTGCTTCTATCGTCTTTTGTAAATATCCTCAAATGAAATCCTATCTTCCCACCATACCTACTTACATCTCCTAACCCAACTGAATGTTTTTTGCTCCTATACATGCCCTCTTGCTTCTACAGCTATCCCCAGTAAACAGTTCTATCTTCTCTCTATAGTAAACATCCAATTTAAATAATCTGTACTACCCATCAAAAGTTTAGACTCACTTAAAGCACCCACTTTATGTTATGTATATACGTATGGTCACATCGAAGATAAATGTCTCCACTAACTAGGGGGAAACCAACTGCAAACCTTTAAGCAGATAAATTGCACGAAGATCGTGCAACACATTGCTGAAAAGCATGTGCAAATATTGTGCACGTGAACAGCTGCGTTTTGGTGTAAAGTTTTGTTATGAATTCACCAATTTTCACTGAGTTTCATCATATATTGAACTCATGACAATACTCTTTTCAACGTTACGAATTGGTTTTACAATACATCAGTTCCTGTGTAAACAGTACCTTTAAGACAGTATGGAATATTTTGCAAAATCTAGATTAGAACAGTTGACTGAAGTAAGTGGCTACATTTACACTAGTGAATCTAAACTTTTGATGGGTAGTATATCTTCTATAACTACCCCAGCTATATGCTTCTATGTTCTCTCTATAATAAACGTCCAATTCAAATATTGTATAACCATCCCAACCTACTGTTTCTATCGTCTCTTTGTTATCAACATCCAATTCAAATGTTCTATATTGCATAACCATCCCAACTAAGTGCTTCTATCTTCTCCCTGTTATTTATATACATTCAATAGTGGACAATACCATGTCTATTTTTTATTAATCGAGTTAATGATTTGGTATCAAAGGAGCTAGTTTAGTACTGTTTATTGCGAGTTTAGTATTCTATTTATTACTCTCCTATATAAATTTGATAGAAACTGCCTACAGAGTTTTCAGAATTGTGACGTCATAACTGTAAGCCATTATGACGTCATACGTCTAGCTGTATTACACTAATGTGATCTTGTCGTTAAATATTACACTACAGTATCGTCCACGGGCGAGTAATAAAGTGAAATATTCTATGTTCTCTAACCATCCCAACCAAATGCTTCTATCTTCCATCTGTATAAACATCCAATTTAACTGATGGTCTTTTAAGCATTCCCATTTAATGGTTTACACTATAAATATTGTATCTTCTGTAATCACTCAGACTTTCCGAAGTGTCAACCCCTGTTACTGAATTCTATGTTGTTATGTAAAAATAATTAATGTGAGAACTGTTTAGTAATTCCGAGATTAATCAACCGAGCAGAACATTTGATATAGCAGCCAGTAGATCTATCTCTTCACACTACACCAATTAATGATGTACGACATTACTTGAAGACACAGGACGATCAAGATGGCCTGCTTACCACCATGTCCAAATCTATTTATTGAATGATGAATTTGATCAGTATTGATTTTCATCAAATGAAAAGCAGTGTTTGCCGCAAACTTTACAACGGTGGTTTCCTGTCATTGCGTTGATTTAATCTGGAGACCATGCCTTGGGAATGAGCCTAAGAGTACACAAGCTTACAGCGAGTGTTGATGATGTTGATTGGCATCAACCGTCGAGTGTCCCCTCCGTCTGTAGCAATATGCATGTAATGTATCAATACAAACTTGCGGGATAATAGTAAGTCCGTCTATTGTGGTAAAGCTGAGGAAGATTGTGTCAAGCCTGATATTAATATTTGTGAATATGTTTTCCTTCGTGATTGCTATTGATTGGTCTCATAACAGGATGAATGGTTGTTCGCTGTGGCGTTTGTATGATGAATGATTAATGTGATTCACGCACTGTTTCCTTGAGAACAAAAGGTTCGCTCTTTTGTGATTCAATTGTTTTGTCAATTAATAATGTTTGCAAACGATGTCTTTTGGTTTGTTTTTTATCAGAACGGCAAAATTAAACAGGTTTGGAACATCGACTGCACAGCACAACTAAACAGGGCTTGTCATATCACCACAACACAAATGAACAGTGCTTGTCATATCACCCCAACACAAATGAACAGTGCTTGTCATATCACCACAACACAAATTAATAGTGCTTGTCACATCACCACAACACAAATGAACAGTGCTTGTCATATCACCACAACACAAATGAACAGGTCTTGTCACATCACCACAACACAACTAAACAGTGCTTGTCACATCACCACAACACAACTAAACAGTGCTTGTCATATCACCACAACACAACTAAACAGTGCTTGTCACATCACCACAACACAACTAAACAGTGCTTGTCACATCAACACAACACAAATGAACAGTGCTTGTCACATCGCCACAACACAACTAAACAGTGCTTGTCACATCACCACAACACAACTAAACAGTGCTTGTCATATCACCACAACACAAATGAACAGTGCTTGTCACATCAGCACACCATCACCACAGGAAATGGATGGTCTGCACCATAAGAAGCACGCACATTGAAGAAGGCACAATCTCAGCCACGAACATATTGATAGTACAACCTCTTACATAACCACCTGGACACCTAATGCACATTAATGATCAATGAAGTTGGAAAATCAGGAATGATTAAAATGAACATATTCGTATGTTATGTAAAGCAGGCATAGAGAATGAAATCCACTTAGTCTTTACATGCCCTACTCTTGATAACATGGGAATTATGTAGATACTAACAAAGGACTTAAGTAAATCACCAGAAAATGCATTCTCCTCTTCTATGATCTCTAAATATGATACCAATATTTTAAACCTGCATGCATGCAACAATCTTAAGAAATAACGTATTGATAAATATTGTGTATCCAAATTGCATGTAACATCCGATTGAGTTCTTCGAGAGGCATTTTAGAAGTTGTGAAGATGAAGGAAAACTAAGTTCTATGGATAGTCAACGTCTTTATTGTAATGAGTGCGACGTTTCGGTGTAGGTACTAACACCGTTATCACGCAATTTTTTTTTGATAACGGTGTTAGTACCTACACCAAAACGTCGCACTCATTGCAATAAAGAAGTTGACTATCCATAGAACTTAGTTTTCCTTTATCATCCGACTGTGTTAGCTACTCTGTATATTGTGAACTATGTATGTGGGCCGGAGGACTAAAATATGATAAGGGTCTTCTTCTTCTTCTTCTTTTCTTCTTCTTCTTTTTTTCTTCTTCTTCTTCTTCTTCTTCTTCTCCTTTTAACTATTTAAATACCCCTTGTCCATTATCATCACAAGGAAAACATTAAGTGTATATAATTGTCTCTCTGTCAGTGTGAGTGAGTGAGTTTGTGTATGCATATGTGTTAATGTGTGATTGCATGTGTGTGTGTGTGTGTGTGTGTGTGTGTATGTTTGTGAGTATAGTTGTAAGTATTAACTTACTTGCAGTTTCGGTTGTATTCGAACGTATATATGAGGTGATATAAACACATGAACAGTTCTTTAATGATGTAGATAACATATGATGTGCATTCCTTTCCAGGAACGAAATAATTTTGATCATCCACAACGAGGCTGAGATGACGTCACTTGTTGGAGACCTACTAAGGAAGCTTCTGCTCATGCGCATCACAGTCCTCCACACGGAGATCTCCAGTAAATACAGTGTGGAGACCATCTCAATACTAGAAGGTACATATAGGCTGGACATGGTCTCAATACTGGAAGGTAGATATAGGCTGGATATGATCTCAATGCTAGAGGGTACATATATGCTGGACATAGTCTCAATAGTAGAAGGTACATATAAGCTGGATGTGATTTCAATACTAGAAGGTACATATTAGCTGGACGTGGTTTCAATACTAGAAGGTACATATAGGCGTGACATGGTCTCAATACTAGAAGGTACATATAGGCTGGATGTGATTTCAATACTAGAAGGTACATATAGGCTGGACGTGATAGCAATACATGAATGTACATAGAGGCGTGACATGGTCTCAATACTAGAAGGTACAAATAACCTGGACGTGATCTCAATACTGGAAGGTACATATAGGCTGGACGTGATCTCATTACTAGCAGGTACATATGAGCTGGGCGTGGTCTCAATACTAGAAGGTGCACATAAGCTGGACATGATCTCAATGCTAGACGGTACATATAGGCTTGATGTGGTCTCAATACTAGAAGGTACAAATAACCTGGACGTGATCTCAATACTGGAAGGTACATATAGGCTGGACATGATCTCAATACTAGAAGGTACATATAGGCTATATAAATCTCAATACTTGAATGTACATGTAGACTGCATATTATCTTAATACTTAATATGGTCGACGCCAGCATATAACGTGGATGTAATCTAATGGTTACACACAGTGTAGGTGCAATGTCTGGACTGAAGGTAACGTATACAGAGGAGATAACCTTAATGCTGGAACTTAAAATAAACATCTTTGATCATTACCTTTGATAAAAAAAACTGTTGATCATCCCCATACTAGAATTTAAGACATAGAGATTATCTCAAAGCAGGAAGTAAAATAGAGCGAAGAATACCAGAAGGTAAATAACAGCTCGGAGGTCATCTCAATACCAGAAGGTAAATAACAACTCGGTGGTCATCTCAATACCAGAAGGATAATAACAGCTCAGAGGTCATCTCAATACCAGAAGGTAAATAACAATTTGGTGGTCATCTCGATACCAGAAGGTAAACAACAGCTTGGAAGTCTTCTCAATACCAGAAGGTAACTAACAGCTCGGTGGTCATCTCAATACCAGAACGTAAATAACAGCTCGGTGGTCATCTCAATACCGGAAGGTAAATAACAGCTCGGAGGTCATCTCAATACCAGAAGGTAAATAACAGCTCGGAGGTCATCTCAGTACCAGAAGGTAAATAACAGCTCGGAGGTCTTCTCAATACCAAATCGTAAATAAAAGCTCGGAGGTCATCTCAATACCAGAAGGTAAATAACAGCTCGGTGGTCATCTCAATACCAAATGGTAAATAACAGCTCGGTGGTCATCTCAATACCAGAAGGTAAATGACAGCTCGGTAGTGATTTCAATACCAGTAGGTAAACAACAGCTCAGAGGTCATCTCAATACCAGAAGGTAAATAACAGCTCTGAGGTCATCTCAATACCAGAAGGTAAATGACAGCTCGGTAGTGATTTCAATACCAGTAGGTAAACAACAGCTCGGAGGTCATCTCAATACCAGAAGGTAAATAACAGCTCTGACGTCATCTCAATACCAGAAGGTAAATAACAGCTCGGTGGTCATCTCAACACCAGAAGGTAAATAACAGCTCGGAGGTCATCTCAATACCAGAAGGTAAATAACAGCTCGGTGGTCATCTCAATACCAGAACGTAAATAACAGCTCGGTGGTCATCTCAATACCGGAAGGTAAATAACAGCTCGGAGGTCTTCTCAATACCAAATGGTAAATAACAGCTCGGTGGTCATCTCAATACCAGAAGGTAAATAAGAGCTCGGTGGTCATCTCAATACCAGGAGGTAAACAACAGCTCGGAGGTCATCTCAATACCAAATGGTAAATAACAGCTCGGAGGTCATCTCAATACCAGATGCTGGAACATAAAATATATCATAGAGATCATCTCAAAGGAGAAAGTAAAATACTAGGTAGAGATCATCTCAACACTAGAAGGTCAAAAATAGCATAGAGATTTCCCCAACGCTAAAAGGTAAAATCTAGCGTAGAGATCGTCTCAATGGCAATAGATAAAATACAGAGTTCATCTCTCTGGAATCAGATGTGGTTACTCATCAAAATGATATAGCTACTCAGCATTTACAATCACCTCAGTACCCCACACACAGAATCAGACAGTACAGGTTATATGACAACCCTAGTGTGATTAATGCACCTGTACAAAGTTTCCTTACTTGGTGATACCAGGAGTGTTTTACACAACCAAGAGCTCACTGACTCGTAATGTAAGAAGCAAATAGTAATAAATAATATGTGAACATGTCAAAACAAACCAGAGAAATCGGAGAACTTCCATTTAGTAGCCAAGGAAAAAATCGATGATTTATCCTTTGAATTACAGCAACAAACTGGATTAATCTTCCCATGTTTGGCCGCTGTATAGCAAAATGAAGCACGGTTATTTATGAATAAATCGACAAATCCATTTCGAGCTTGCCTCTTAGGTGTTCAGAGAATTTTTTGTCAGGCATTCCATAAATATTGAAGTTGAACTGCTATAAATTAATACACGGCTAATGGTTTACTATGGAAACATTTCAAGGTTTCAATTTGTTAATGTAGTGTAGAAATGTACAAAGAAATGTTTCTGATTCCAGACGAGTTCGCAGTTCTGATCAATACCAGCCACCCGTCCATCATAACGAGGCTTGGTGATGGACTCAAGTGCGCGGCACTGCGCATGTCAAGATGCAGGAAATTCTGCCTTGAGGTGGGTAAGTATGTGTATTGGGAGTAGACACACGATATCGTGACTTGCTTCACAAGTCTTTGGAAAACCTTTTGTTAACCGCTTACAGCGTAAAATAAAATCGGCTTTATTAGTAGTGGCTCGACACAACCATCTACTCTGATGACTTGAAATTCCGGGTTAGAACAGCATCGCCAGAAAGCAATATTGGTCATTAAGGGAATACCTAGGATCTGGATAGCTGCGGTGACTCTCGTGTTAAACAAACGCTGATTTCATTCCTATAGAAAATGCCATATATTAAAGAACGAAAACGTGCAGTTTGCACTGGATAGACCCTGATAATTGTATTCCAAAATATATACTGTGTTATATATGCGAAAACACCTTCAGGTAAAACATGCTTGTCGTAAGAAATGACTCGCTGGCTTGGTTGACACATGTCACCGTACCTCAATTGCGTAAATCGATGTTCATGCTGTTGATTACAAGTCTGTTTGGTCCAGACTCGATTATTTACAGACCGCCGCCATATAGCTGGACTATTGCTGAGTGCAGTGTTAATCGACAAACAAACCAACGTTCAGATTAAATGTGAAGTAATTGTTGACAAGGGTAATGTAGATGCTTGGGTAAGTCATGAGTACCCTTGACAATGTTACCGTTATGTCCATTCTGAACGTTTGCGTATCTACTCGTTTTGGTCAATTTTCTCTCTGTCCGTTCACTAGCTGGACATGTCCACATCCCTACACGACTGGTACGCTGAGCACAAGGAAGCCATCACGAGCTGTGACGACATCCACCAGATGAAAGTGAGGCGCGCGAGACTCTACGTGACCAATCACACCATCTACAGCCACTGTTTCGACTGCAAACCCCACTGGTGGTTGTGTCTGTGTTTCTGCTGGCTGCTCTCGGCGCCCTGCTACATGGTAAATGTCCCTCACATCATTCAGCTGGGATCAGGGAATTTCTACATTGAATTATACATATTAAATTACTGTTTTCCGTTATGAATTAATTCATTACCAGTCGACATTGTCCGGGCCTTGTCAGATCCGTATTATGATCTGGAACTTGAATATGTGGATGGTGTCTTGTTTCACATCTAACCACATCTCTCAGATCTAGTAGATATTATATGGTAACGCTTCTCACTAGTCAAAACTAGATGATGTTACATCTTATCACTATTAACAAATCAGAACTAACAGATATTGTACCGTACCACTTCTATCCAATCAGAACTAGTTGGTGTTATATGATAATACTATAAAGTTATTAACCAATCAGAAGTAGTTGGTGTTAAATGGTACCCCTTCTCACCAATCAGAACTAGACGATATCATATCGTACCGCTTCTAACCAATCAGATGTTATAGGGTACCACTATTAACCAATCAGAACCAATCGATATTATACGAGGGGCTATCAATATATGTGCACGATAAAAATAACTGTATGATATTGAAGAATAGTTATATCATTCACATAAACGTAATACTGACATGCATGTGTCCCTAATTTCCGGTCACGTGACATCTAATCACGTGTACCCCTATTGAAATGGTAGAAATGGATAAGCTTGAGTACAGAGATTTTAGTCCTTGAGGGCCACCCGGGCGGCGAAGAAGAGCGATAGACAGCAGTACGAGGACCCAATGAGAACTTGTTGATGTTATATGGTAACAATTCACCACACTAACAATTCATATCAATATATTTTCACGACAAGCCAAAGGTGAGGTGAGGTGAAATTGGGTTTAACGTCATGCTTGAGAATATTTCGCTCATATGACGACGTGCATGCGTGTGTATGGGTATGTGCGGCTGCTTGTACTAGCCCAGACTGAAGCTGGTTTTATAGTGCTAGCCCACTGAGATACCACGCCGCAGTGAAGCATAAATACCCCACTCAGACACACTATACTGACTCCGAGCCGACCAGTACTTGTTGTACCCATTAATGCCGAGCGCCAGGCAGGGACCAATAAGTACCAGATTTTAACGTCTTTTGGTATCACGCGGTGGGGGATCGAACCCGCGACCTTCCGCTCTCCGGGCGGACGCTCTAACCACTACACCACGGAGGCGGTCGAGAAGCCAAAGCTGTTTCTCAACTGTACTTAATGCTATTTGAAAGGTATACATGTCACGGTGGCCATGTAATATAAACATAGAGTATCTTTCATAAAGTGTAGGCTGTTGTACAGATATTAAGTTCCTGGAGTAACGTTTCCAGCATGTTCTGTGATTATGGAAACTGATGCCTGTTACGTAACACTAACCGTGAAACATGACTATTGGCATGGGATGTTTAAACACAATCTGAATGTGTTTGCTATTACATGTATATATCATATGACCGCGTATGCTGGTCGACAAACATACATCATTCCGACATCCGATATCCGATATCCGACATCCGGTATAACAATTTAGACAATTCTATAATTCTGTAATTCTTCTAATTCTGTAGTACATATAATTTCGATGAATGTGTGTTAAGGAAACATTTATGTATATGTCAGCCCTATGTTAGGTTTAAGTGAGTTTAATTTTACGCCGCATCCAGCAATATTCCAGCTACATGATGGCCGTCTGTAAATAATCCTGTCGGATTGTCCAAATAATTGAGATAATAAGTGAGATACGAGTGAGTGAGAGAGTATGGTTTTATCTCAGCAATATCACGGCGGGGGACACCAGAAATGGGTTTCGCTCACTGGGAACCCGGCAATCGAACCCCGGTCTTTGGCGTGACGAGCGAACGCTTTAACCATTAGGCTACCTCACCGCCCCAAGTGAGACACGATGAGATGCTTCGTCCGAGCCACCGAGCTTGACCACCCGAGAAATTGAGCAGTCTCAAACACACAAGAAGCCTACGAGATCGAATCCTGTCTGATTCCAAATGATGCATTACCACCTCCCTTAACCACACACCCACCACACTCCACCTCACCCCCTACTCCCAACCAGTCAGGTTCCTGTTGAATGAGGACAATGCTTGTATAATGTCACGGCATGGTAACAATTGTACAACAACGTCGATTTCAGTCTTACCGGAAGCTGACATGCACAGACATCTATGTTGAAATACATGGGGAGATAACTCCAGCAAAATGTGTACAAGATGAAAGTAGCAGGTAGGCAGATAGTCATTCCGTTCATGCATATGGCGAAGTTAAGATAAATGTGTACAAATAACATTGATATTAAGTTTATTCATAGTAAATATTTCTGATATTTTTCTTTTCAAATATATTAAAATCTGTTGCGGATAATAAGGGATTGTTTGTTCGACTTTCCATGTTTTCACCAAATCAGATTGATAGTTCAAGAAAATATTATAACTATGATGATCTGTATGTGCAAAACTGATTATCAACATTACTATATTTTATGTATGCACGCCAGAATGACAAAGTGACATTTTTTTTAAAAAAAAACCCTGACAAGTTGAGCTTTTTTAATTTCACATTTTCATGCAGATAACACGCCTCATCATCGTTATCCATGATCTCATTCAATAAGAAGGGTTTAACTGAAGGGAATAAAATGTCCGTCACAGAAAAAGGTAATAGTCTACATGTATCCCTCAGGATTTCCTTTATCTCATTTAAAGTTTTGTTGTTTCAATTTCCAGAGTAGCGATAGATTCATCACGTCGCTGCTACCAGACCGTCTGACGTCGTGTGAAACAGATGCTAGTTTTTGTAATGAGTGAGATCTAGACAAGTCTCTGTGGAAATATGCAATGAGGATCAGTAAAATTGTGCCAATGTTCAACCTCGGAGGAGCAATGAACATACCGTGAGAAGGTCTTGACATCAACCAGCTTGATCACTGTAACCATCTGATGTCGTCATGACCTCTTCATCAACGTCGCAAGAAGATCACCATGTATATCCTATGTGATAAGTCATATTGAAAGAAAGAAGTGTAAATTATTGAAGACAGTGTGACTAGATCGCTAGAACATCTTGACATCAACCATCTTGGTCACTGTAACCATCTGATGTTGTCGTGGCGTCTTCACCAACGTCTCAAGAAGATCATCAGCTCTATCCATTTGGTGATACGTCATATTGAAAGCAAGAAGTGTAAAATATTTTACAGACAATGTGACCAGACCGTGAGAACGTCTTGACATCAACCATCTTGGTCACTGTAACCATCTGATGTTGTCGTGACGTCTTCACCAACGTCTCAAGAAGATCATCAGCTCTATCCATTTGGCGATACGTCATATTGAAAGCAAGACGTGTAAAATATTTTTAAGACATTGTGATCAGACCGTGAGAACGTCTTGACATCAACCATCTTGGTCACTGTAACCATCTGATGTCGTCATGACCTTTTCACCAACGTCTCAAGAAGATCACCATGTAGGTGACACGTCATTTTGAAAGGGAAAAGTGTAATTATTTTATAGACAATGGACCGAAGTGTACACGTGTGACGTATGGTTATTCAGTTGTCAATGTTCCATCAAAACGTGAAATGACTTGGAGCATTTTCTTATAAGTATGACCAGGACCAATTCCTAATAATCAGTGTCAGTGGAATTACTGTATCAAAGTCATTCGTCTTGGATTAAGAGTGATATGTGCCCCTGTACGTCCCATGGTGTGACGCTGAATATTGCCAATACAATGCACAGCTTTGTATTTGAAAGTTTTGTTCCAGATTGGTTGGTTAGTTTGTTGCTGAACGCCGCACTCAGCAATATTCCATCTATATTGCCGCGGTCTGTAAACAATCGACTCTGGACCAGACAATCGATCTACGCAACTGGGATACGATTTCATGTGTCAGCTAAGTCAGTGAGCCTGACCACCCGATGCCGTTAGTCGCCTCTTACGACAAGCATGGGTTATTACTGAAGAACAATTCTAACAAGGATCAGGATGACAAAAGAGAACATTTGTGCTGGATATAGACATGTTTTCTATAAGAACCTATATATTTTTTGTTGTTTACATATGTCTGATACATAAACACAACTTAAACCAGTGCATACATTGCAACGTTGCGATATTAACGGCACATGTACTGTAAATCAATAAAATAATGCGAGCTACTGATTAATGCGAAAAATGCGACTATATCTGAAGCGCATTAATAAATCTCGCATTATTATATTGTCATATACTTTACCATCATTTCTGTATCATTCCAATTTAAAAAAACACACATAGTAGATGCAAAAAATATATTGTTTTGGAAAGATTAAACTTTTAACAAAATCAACATTCAGAATAACAACGAAGAGAGTTCTATGGATATAAAACTTCTGTAATATTAATATGGACGACGTTTCGGCGTTGCTACTAACACCGTTATCAAGCAAGTGATGGTGGTAACGTGAGTGAGTGAGTTTAGTTTTACACCGCACTCCGCAATATCCCAGCTATATGGCGGCGGTCTGTAAATAATCGAGTCTGGATCAGACAATCCAGTGATCAACAGCATGAGCATCGATCTGCGCAATTGGGAACCGATGACATGTGTCGACCAAGTCAGCGAAACTGACCACCCGATCCCGTTAGTCGCCTCTTACGACTAGCATGGGTTACTGAAGATCAATATTCTAACCTCGACCTTCACGGGTCCGTATCATAGAGTAAAGAGTCTATAACATTTGGTGCTGAGAGCATCATAATCAGTGTTCACGTGTTTCAGCTCAACGCCACAATCGTCCAAAAAAACTCTTGGCTTATATCTTATAAATGATGCTCGTGACACGTGGATAGTGTTGCATCATATACTTACACACAAGATAACTTTATCTATAAGTTTTTTAAATCTAAAGATATGACCACCTGTTTGTATTTTCATCTGATTGACAAAGAAATTATATTAAAAATATTGAGTCAGGCAGTCAAATGTCAGTAATCACTTGTATCCTCAACATCGACAAACTAATAATGGACGCATGAAAAATCAAATTTTCCCTCGTTGCGTGTGTACTTGTCCGTGCAAGCAATTTCCTTAACTGGTTCTTCAGCCTTTCTGATCTTTCGATTGCTCTAAGTGTGATACGCTGTTCTATGTTTGCAGTCTTTTGAAACACAAAGAGCAATTGGTGGACTAACCGCTGTGGTTAGTGATATTACCCTTGCGTATATCCGCTATCTGTCGGTTCCAAAGGAGATACAATTTCACCATTGGCACCAGCGATCGACCTGATAGCGGCATCCAGCGTCGTGTTACACTCGCACGTCAAGACCGTTAAATCTACAGAACGGTCTAGCAGTATCGGTTCCCAGCCTCTTACGACAAACATAGTCGCTTTTTATGGCAAGCACATGGGTTGCTGAAGACCTATTCTATCCCGGATCTTCACGGGTCGATGGTGGTAACGGTGTTAGTAGCTACACCGAAACAGCGCTCATATCAATATTAAAGATGTGGTATATCCATAGAACTGTCCTCGTTGTTCATCACACCAACTTCTAAATGCCACTCAAATACGTTATTCAGAATAACAGTCATACAGCAACAGGTATTGACATACAAGGCTGTTGAATTGAGGTTTGGTAGCAAAACAAACCTTCAACGTAGTGGACAATTGGAACACACACCTAAATTCGCTCATGTTTAATGGCACAATGACATAACTTCCCTCAGCTCTGAACTGACAAAACCGGCTTTCATCGGTGAAGACGACACTCTGTCAGTCACGTCGCTGTCAAAGATGTTCAAGCCCAGCAAGCCCATTCGACAGGATTACGCATTCTGTCGTTTCTGTAAACCCTAGTTCGGCTGACCACTGCCTGACCACCGTCTGACCACTATCCTTATGTCCCAAAGCATTCGTCGCTCATTAGGAATCGATACCGGAGATTCAGAGTGTGCAATATGTGTGTGTGCGTAAGGGAGTGAGAGAGCCAGGGTGACAAGAAGTGTTATCTGTTACACGCATTCAGGCTGACGCTCTCACTACTTAATAATAATATTTATAATAATGAGTGATTTTGTAACGCGCCAAACTCCACGCCAGCTGGTATGCTCATGGCGTTACAAGTAAAGTTATTTGGGTGAGAGTCTAGACAAAATACTTCTTAAATAGAAACGTTTTGAGGAGAGTTTTGAAGGAGAGCAGGCTTTTGGCTGTTTTGAGATCTTCGGGCAGAGAATTCCATAGAACAGCTGATTGATAGGCAAATGATCTGAATCCAAATCGTTTTAGTCTGTATCTAGGTACTTGCCCTCTGAGGACAAAATAGGCACTTCAAATCGTAAACGTTCATGTCAATCACCTGATGCCCCACAATCGGCTAGGTCACACAGTGTCATCAACAAAGGTGGTATAAACATCAAACAGAGCGCTGGAATCTGAATGTATTCCGACCATCAGTTGCGTAATGGCTGCCATTAAGCCCTTTATGAATTCTTAATCACGAATTATTCTGTTTTTGTTACTTTGCTTTGGATACTCTAATGCTTTTAACAGATGCAATAAACATGATCACTATATATCTTTATATGCATTATGTATCCTTCGTATTATATATCCTTCGTGGTACAGTCTGTTAATAATTGAACATGATCAGGTTACTCTGTGAGGACATAGCAGCTGGGTTCCTCTATGAACTAATGTAGTTTAAGGTGTGAATGTTTTTAAAACGCCTTTAGCAATATTCCAGCAGTATCAAGGACAGGAGACACCAGACATTGGATTTACGCAATGTGCCCATGTGGGAAATCGAACCTGGAATCTCGGCATGACGAGCGGAAGCTTTGGCCAGTAGGCTAAGCCATCATATAGAAAGGTTTGCACTCTCCATGGACGTATCCATAACAAATGTATGCAATGTATTTAATATTCATCGATTTCTACACCCACTGCAATGCTGATGACTGCACCATCAATTGTTTGGAATTGGTTAAAATCTCATCAATTGATGATTGTTTCATTACAGCCGATCAATCATCGAAAACAATTGGTTAGCATCATTTTCCAGATTTTTCTATTCGGGTTGTTATTGCAGATAAGTATAACATGATGTAACTTGCTACTTTAATGTGATAACTGATATATTATGAAGAAAAACTTCCTGGAGTCTTCAAGAAATATTCAGTCATTACTTTTCAGTTAGTCAAGTGAGTTTTCTAACAATTAAACACATTTTCAGGCCCTGACAACTTCAAAGATATGTTCCGTCGTCAAGTGTTTCAAACATTAAACCAGTAGTTCCAAAATCATTTGTGTTCGATTTTGAGAAAATGTGATCGATTGCTTGGTCGTTTGGTTACTGCGACCAATCTTCGATTATTTCAATTAATCGGAACACCACTAGTTCCTGCAGCATTCCTCAATCCAAACAACTTGATTGGATCCCGAACACAACCATAGGGCTCATATCTCCCCGCCGTGTTACCGTTAGAATATTGCAAAAGTCGGCGTTTAACAATGCTCGTTCATCGGATTATCGAACTCGCCCTGTTAACGAGGACAACACGGGATTTTGATTTCGAAATGAGGAAATTAACTTCACTTCCATTTAATAAAGTTGCAATCGTTATTCAGATGTCCATACTTGTTATTCATAAAAGTAAGCCGTATAACATGTTGGTATAAATCCGGCTAAAGCACGGTACAATATATAAATAATGTCTTTGTGTTACATGCATGTTGTATATATTTGCATAATTTTCTCACAACCAAGGAAACGCACGTGCATTTTGATGATACGTCACCATTGCATCTCCTGAACATTTGCTCACTAGGCCATTTCCTGACTTGGTGTTATCATTTATTTTATCAATCATATGAACGTTTATGAACAACCCCAGGTGTTTCATGTTATTAAGCTTTAGGTATGTTACAACGAATGAGTGAATAGTTTGACGCCACTTCTGGCAATATTCCTGTAACATCACGGCAGGGGACACCAGAAATGGGATTCACACTTTGAGTGAGTGAGCTTGGTTTTACGCCGCTTTTAGCATTATTCCAGCAAGATCACGGCGGGGGACACCAGAAATGGGCTTGACACTTTGAACCGATGTGGGGAGTCGAACCCGGGTCTTCGACTTGACGAGCGACAGCTTTAGCCACTGTGCTAGCCCACCGTCCCAGTGCTAAAAGGAAAGTGTATTAGAACTATACACCCCGAATTATGGGGGCTTCCTATAGATCCAAATCTGCATGGTCCTTATGTGCTTAATGAAGTCCTCTAATTGACTTCCAAAAACACTAACCTTCAAAAGTCCCTATATTTACCTATATATATCTTATTACCGAGTTTGATACCGGACAGGTGAAGACATTTTGCCCAAGACATCGTAGAAAACATCCGTGCCCACTCAATGATTCCAACCCAATAAACACATGGGGTTGGGTGATCGAACATACAACTGCACATATTTGACGGCAAGTGTTTTAGGAAGCGATTGGAGTTGCAGATTGTGTGTGGTTACGATATCCATGACATTAACGGATCGTTGATAGTGTCGTATGTTCCGAAACAAGGATCATTAACAATACACAACAAGACAGGCCGTCAGTTTGTACAGCGAGGAGCCAAAACGTCTATAAGGAGGATCACAGCGATTCCATTACTGCACAAATGTTGTTCTTGTGCTCCGATTTGCTCCTGTTAATGGTTTTATTGTTGATGTATGTCTCCGAACTCTCAGGAAAACGTCATGTTTGATTTCAACCTATCTATATATCTCCTTAATATTACATAGAGGCTTTTAAGTTTAATAATAATAATAATGTGTCCATTTATATATCGCCAAACTTCACACTAGGTATGCGCATAGCGCTAACAATCAAGGCACAGCCCATTATTACCCCGGATAACTGCCTGTTAGGCGCTAGAAGGTTATAAATTTTGAACAAACTCACTTGCCTAAGGTGAGACCACATGTGTCACATGTGCTTCGTTGTGGGGAAGGACTCAAGTCCTAGAAACTCTCAGGAGTCAAGCTGCCAAACACGGTCACCCATCCAAGGACTCTCCGAGCTCGACGCTGCTTAACTTCACCGATTTGTGACCTGAGCTTAGAGCACAGGACCACGCGCCACCACGTCAAAGTCACCAAGTTTCTATCCATACTCCTCCCCATTACGACGGTATATAAACTATTTACATGAGAAATACATACGAGTTAGGTCTCTTTTGTATGTCATTAAAGTTAGTGTTTCCAGGCGTGTACTAGTATTACTGTATGGCATCAGTGTATCATGTTCACAAACAGAGAGTTTCCAGTTGCACACACATTGCATGGGCTGGTGTCTGCTAATAGCAGTGGGTAAACTGGAAATTGCAACTCTGTAAGACCGGAAACACCTCGACTCACAATAAGTGGTACAGAAACCTGGTATCCCTTAGCTTCGTCTGATTATGGAATAACGTTTCCAGTCATGTGATAAAACTGAAATAATTATAACATATCAAATTAAGTTTTGTTTTATTGATTGATGGGACATGTAATCATGCACGGAACGGAAAGTTTTATGTAATTACCGACTGTCGTGGGATTTTATTTTGTTTAAAAGATCTTTCGTTGCTTAACGTAAAGGGCGGTGGGGTAGCCTAGTGGTTAAAGCGTTGGCTCGTCACGCCGAAGACCCTGGTTCGATTCCCAACATGGGTACAATGTGTGAAGCCCATTTCTGGTGTTCAACGCCGTTATATTTCTGGAATATTGCTAAATGCGGCGTAAAACCATACTCACTCATTCACTTAACGTAAGGGTATAGGTATGGTGGGGTTCGGTAAACCTAAGTGTAAAAGTACACTCGGTCTCGTTTGAAGTAAGGGTACAGGTATAGTGGGGTTCGCTTAACGTAAGGGTACAGGTATAGTTGGGTTCGGTAAACGTAAGGGTACAGGTATAGTGGGGTTCGGTTAACGTAAGGGTACAGGTATAGTGGGGTTCGCTTAACGTAAGGGTACAGGTATAGTGAGGTTCGGTTAACGTAAGGGTACAGGTATAGTGGGGTTCGGTTAACGTAAGGGTACAGCTATGTTTGGGTTCGGTAAACGCAAGGGTACAGGTATAGTGGGGTTCGGTAAACGTAAGGGTACAGGTATAGTTGGGGTTCGCTTAACGTAAGGGTACAGGTACAGTGGGGTTCGGTAAACGTAAGGGTACAGGTATAGTGGGGTTCGCTTAACGTAAGGGTACAGGTATAGTGGAGTTCGGTAAACGTAAGGGTACAGGTATAGTGGAGTTCGGTAAACGTAAGGGTACAGGTATAGTTGGGTTCGCTTTACGTAAGGGTACAGGTATAGTGGGGTCCAATAAACGTAAGGGTACAGGTAGAGTGGGGTTCGGTAAACGTAAGGGTACGAGTACAGTGGGGTCCAATAAACGTGAGGTTACAGGTATAGTTGGGTTCGGTAAACGTAAGGGTACAGCTATGGTGGGGTTCGCTTTACGTAAGGGTACAGGTACAGTGGGGTCCAATGAACGTAAGGGTACAGGTATAGTGGGGTTCGGTTAACGTAAGGGTACAGCTATGGTGGGGTTCGCTTTACGTAAGGGTACAGGTATAGTGGGGTTAGGTAAACGTAAGGGTACAGGTATAGTGGGGTTCGCTTAACGTACGGGTACAGGTATAGTGGGGTTCGGTTAACGTAAGGGTACAGCTATGTTTGGGTTCGGTTAACGTAAGGGTACAGGTATAGTGGGGTTCGGTAAACGCAAGGGTACAGGTATAGTGGGGTTCGGTAAACGTAAGGGTATAGGTACTAGGGGTCCAATAAACGTAAGGGTACAGGTACAGTGGGGTTCGGTAAACGTAAGGGTACGGGTACAGTGGGGTTCGGTAAACGTAAGGGTACAGGTATAGTGGGGTTCGGTAAACGTAAGGGTATAGGTATAGTGGGGTTCGGTAAACGTATGGGTACAGGTATGGTGGGGTTCGGTAAACGTAAGGGTACAGCTATTGTGGGGTTCGCTTAACGTAAGGGTACAGGTATAGTGGGGTTCGGTAAACGTAAGGGTACAGGTATGGTGGGGTTAGGTAAACGTAAGGGTACAGCTATGGTGGGGTTCGCTTTACGTAAGGGTACAGGTATAGTGGGGTTCGCTTAACGTAAGGGTACGGGTATAGTGGGGTTCGCTTAACGTAAGGGTACATGTACAATGGGGTCCAATAAACGTAAGGGTACAGGTACAGTTGGGTTCGGTAAACGTAAGGGTACAGGTATAGTGGGGTTCGGTTAACGTAAGGGTACAGGTATAGTGGGGTTCGCTTAACGTAAGGGTACTAGTACAGTGAGGAAAGATTAATGTAAGAGTATGACCTGGCTGGATGTCCTTGCCTTAGGTTCTTATCTATGACTTACAGACGTCGCAAGGAACGAAACGCTCTCACTTCAGATCCGTATACCATTTGCAACTGTAACGGTTGACGGTCCACGTACATTTTGGTCGTAAACGTATCTTGTGTGCACAGGTGTGACGGACTTACTAAGACGTATCTGCTAAACGATTACCCAACCTCCCCGATCTCGGAGCCAAAGCGTCCTGACATTCTTACAGCGTTATCTCCAGCCAGCTCTACCATCAGGTGCTGAGTTATGGGTCATGACCTTCACATTCCATTAAAGGTGGACGGTCCAAATAACTCAGATAACCTAAATCCAGGTTAAAAGAAAGATGCCACATGTTAGTTCTCGGCTTTGACTAGTGATCATTTCAGCGTGTTGTTCAGTCGGATCTGATTCAGCCCCGGTTGTACATCCCACCATGCGATACTTGCGGTGTTTAGCCCTGTTGACTTTACTCACCTTCTCCGCCGCAGACATCCCCTTCCGTAACGCCACCCTACCGTGGCAGGTGCGTGTCGAGGACGTCGTCGGGAGACTGACCATCCAGGAGATTCAGACCCAGCTAGCCAGTGGTCAGGGACAAGCTCCCCCGATATCTAGACTGGGGATCAACCAGTACTCCTGGTGGTCAAACTGTGGGAGGGGGGATGTAGCGCAGAACGCTACTGCCTTTCCCCAGGGGATCGGAATTGGGGCGTCGTTTGAGTGAGTACCTAACTATAACAGTAAATTCTCGAGATAAACATTGTGTTTAAATCCGCTGAGAATTTGGTCTTGACACAACTACCGTCAAACACAAGTGTGTCGAACATGGACTTGTTTGAGCCTACGATTGTCTCGAAAAAAAGCCGAGTCATTGTTTAGTAATCTTTTAATTATCATTTTGCAGTTGTGTCGAACTTCGGATAACTCGAAGTACTAACGTAGGTCCCTTCAACGTCGACACAAACGTGTTTGAATGACAAAGTTTCGTGCTGAGTACAGACCTGGATTTCGTTGTTTTAAGTTTTTAATTTCTGTGAGTGAGTTCAGTTGAGCTCCTCTTTGACGAGTGAGTGAGTGAGTTTAGTTTTACACCGCACTCAGCAATATTACAGCTATATGACAGCGGTCTGTAAATAATCGAGTCTGGACCAGACAATCCAGTGTTCAGAGCATGAACATCGATCTGCGCAATTGGGAACCGATGACATGTGTTAACCAAGCCAGCGAGCCTGACCACCCGATCCCGTTAGTCGCCTCTTACGACAAGCATGGGTTACTGAAGGTTTGTTCTAACCTGGACCTTCATGGGTCCTCTTTGATGTAGTAGGAAAACCTAAAGTTATGGAGTTCTAATATGTTTACCACTTTAGTGCAACTGGCCGCCTCCGTGGTGTAGTGGTTAAAGCGTCCGCCTAGAGAGCGGAAGGTCGCGGATTCGATGCCCGGCCGCCTTCATACCAAAAGACGTTGAAATATGGTACTGCCTGGCGCTCGACATTAATGGGTACAACAAGGACTGGTTGGCTCGGAGTCAGTAAAATGTGTCTGAGTGGGGCATTCATGCTTGTACCCGTGAAGGTCCGGGTTAGAATATTGATCTTCAGTAACCCATGCTTGTCGTAAGAGGGGACTAACGGGAGAGTGGTCAGACTCGCTGACTTGGTTGACACATGTCATCGGTTCCCAATTGCGCAGACCGATGCTCATGCAGTTGATCACTGCATTGTCTGGTCCAGACTCGATTATTTACAGACAGATTCCGCCATATAGCTGGAATTTTGCGGCGTAAAACTAAACCCACTAATTATTCATGCTTAACTGCGGCATGGTATCTCAGTGAGCTAGCACTATAAAACCAGCTTAAATCTGGGCTAGTACAAGCTTCCACACATACACACGCATGCACGTCGCCATATGAGTGAAATATTCTTAAGCACGACGTTAAACCCCATTTCACCTCACCTCACCTTTAGTGAAGCTGACGAACATGGACCTTGTGTTGACAAACCAAAACACATAATCATAATTTATATTTCACTGTAGTGGTGATCACATGCAGTGTGCTGTTAGATCCGAACACATAAAATGACCCTTTCAGTGTGTCCTCTCAAGTGGCAGTTTGACCTGATGTGAAGAAAATACTTCTTCTTTTTAAATTTCTGTTCAAAGGACATAGATTACCCTACATTCCATCAATGCCATTCATTTTGTATTGATTGTGTCTGTATATGTGTGTATCATCGCGCAGCAAGGATTTGATTTACCGAATAGCCGAGGCCAGCAGCACAGAAGTCCGAGCCTACTACAATTACTTCATGAAGACGGGTGCTACTCTGGATGTACATATGGCGATCAGCTGTTTCAGCCCTAACATGGACACGTTCAGGGACCCCCGATGGGGAAGGGGTCAGGTGAGTAATATTAACCCCCTAAAGTGGACACGTTCAGGGACCCCCGAACCAAGATTTATGCCTGAAAAATGTAGGCAACACAAAGATTTATTCCTGGAAAACCTAACAAAAAACAAGATTTATTACTGCTGTTCTCAATGCCGATGGTGGACATACCTGTTATTGAGCTTGTGACATAGTCGTTTGACCCCTTTCCCGCTTGTGGACTCGTGACGTCATTGTAATTGACTTTTCAATTGAAATTCTCCCGACTTGTTATGGTCTCATGATCCCTCCATTAAAGTTTATATGTACCTTTGACATTGTTATCGTACTTATCAACTGGGATAATATTTTGACAATGCACAGATTCTTTATGTGGCTAGTATATATAGCTATCTGTTCCTAATTGTTTTATTCACCTGATGAAGGAGTAAGAACATACTTCTAAACGTCGTGACCCTTCACAATAAAGAAGTTGTCATCCATGAAACTCTTTACTTAACGTTTGTGTTAATTACCGTAGGCGTGTTTCACCTCACCATAGAAAGAGAAGTTGTTGATGCAGAGAAATAGCAATAGTAGAAACGTGTGCACGCGAACAGGGGCTTTTTTCACGAAGCAACCTTTACTAAGGTTAACCTTAACCCCCATTCTTTAACATTGCACTAAGGTTACCTTAGTGACTTACGATCACCTTAGTGCTTGTGCTCTGCGATGGGAGGCCCAGGTCAGCAGGTTATCTTAAGCATCGGTTAATACTTCCAGGAAACACTCAGTGAAGACCCGTACCATGCTGGCGAGATGGGGTACCACCACGTCAAGGGTCTCCATGGTACCCATCCTCGATACCTGAGGACCAGTTCTGGCTGTAAACACTTTGACGTGTCTGGTGGACCTGAGAACTGGCCAATGTCCAGACAGGTGTTTGATGCACAGGTAGGTCAATGTGTCCACACAGGTGTTCGATGCACAAGTGGGTCAGTCAGTGCAGGTATTTGATGCAAAGGTATGCCGATGTTTACAGACAGATGCTAAATGCAAAGGTCATTGTCTCCTGACAAACGTTTGATGCAGGGTATGCCAAGGAGTGTAACAGAATATATTGGAATACTGAACAAATAGACATTGATACTTAGGCCTTGGTATATTTATGATCCTAGATACGTGAAGATTGTTTAATATTCTTTAATGATATGGCTTTCCATGACAGATATTTTATTTCCACTGCCACCTTACACATTTAAAATAATTAGGCGTGATTGTCAGGTTTCAGAACGAGACTGGAGGTCGTACTTCCTTCCTCCCTTCAGGCGATGTGTTGAAGCTGGGGCCTACAGCTTGATCTGTGCTTATAACAGGTACACTGTGTTCATATAACAATGTGCCTATAACAGGTAAATTATGCTTATTGTGATTACACAAATACCAGGTAACAAACCCTTCGCTATCCGTAACAAGGGCAATTATTTACTCCAATCTTGCTCATTTCGTACAACTTGGACCCTCTGAAACCAAATGGATCGGATGTATCTTGCCACATCGGTAGTATCTGTCACAGTATGTTTCTACATCCAGCATCAACGGTGTCCCCGCCTGCGCCAACAAGAAGCTGTTGACTGACATACTGAGGGGGGGGAGTGGAACTTCACCGGCTACATCGCAGCAGACGCCGGCGAGATCCTCAACATCATCACCGTACATAAATACTTGAACAACACCGTCGACACCGCTGCAGCTTGTCTCAAGGCCGGGTGTAACCTGGAAGTTCAGTCTGGCGATAAGAGAGTGTATAACTCAATAAGTAAGTGCCACCAACATACTGTCGAGCATTAGATGACAATAATTACAAACAATCCCGAAATAGATATATGTATGGCACTTAGACAAGTTTGTTGTTCTGATGCATGAACAACATAAGTCTGTCTTAGGGCCCACAGCTGTTTATTCAGACTACACAGCGTAGGTCAGAATGTCTCTCCCCAGGCCTATTGCCTTGTACATTATAAGCTGTTCACTAGTCACGAGGGGGGCATGGGTTGATGTACCCTCGATGTTTGTTTATGTTCCCTGAGCCCTTCGGGGTACATCAACCCATGAGGCCATAGGGATCAGTGAACAACGTATTTATCTTACCGAACACCTAAATGTTAATTTTGAATTGTTTGAAGCACGGGTACAAATCTTTTTGTAGCCATCGCTAGATTTTGCTGACAAGAAAAACAGATTTAGAGTTATCTCCTTTGCATTCGCAAAACATCGGTAATTTCCGTACATCATACGTGATTCAATGAAGTACTACCAGATAAAGAAGTACTACCACGAAGTACCAAATGAGTTGCCATTGACAGCGGGGTACATTGAAACGTTACTCGCTTGTAAGCGGGGTACATTGAAAATAATAGAAGAGCGCTCAGCCAATCAGAAAGCGACATTTATGTGTGAGGCAAGATAATTATTTATTTACCCAAGGCCGGTCATTTGTGTTTGGAGCTGGTCATTGCTGATTCTTTGTTTTTAGCCCCCCTTGCATCTGGTCAGTGGTGTGTCATCTTCATTTGCTTCCCATGTGTCCTTTTGCATCTTAATCTTAATTAGGAATCTAATAATCACGATTAGATCTAGGGAATTCCTGGACAAAATATATTTTGCCCTGTGTCCAGTCGGTCTGGGATTATTGTTCAACTCCCTGACCAGAACTACATTTTTGGGGGCCAAGTATGTGCCCGATGATATCTCAAGGACATGATATCTCATGTGACAATGAAATCTCAAGGACATGTGCACGTGCATGTAATGCTAATATGTTTTAATGATGTCGGGCGATTCTCTTTCCGTTCATCACACAACTACTGTTAAGCATTTGATATTCAGGGTACGTTATTCAGGGTACATCTTGCACTTAGCTCAGTACACTAACATCGTCATGGGGGATAGAACTCAACAATTTGCTGGCTGGGACATAAAACAATCTTTCTCTTTCCCTGCTTCTTCCTCTCCATACCTCCTCGTTATCCCGAACGCGTTCACCATGTTCTGCCATTAGTATGCTTGTTCTGTGGTATATTTGTCCACACATTGCCCTCTTTCCCTCCATCCTGACTTACTCGACTTACTCGATGATCTTCCCTTCCATGGTCTCTAGTGGTGGTCCGATTAATTGAAATAAGTGACCAAACGACCAAGCAATCGATCACATTTTCTCAAAATCGAACACAAATGATTTTGGAACTACTGGTTTAATGTTTGAAACACTTGACGACGGAACATATCTTTGAAGTTGTCAGGGCCTGAAAATGTGTTTAATTGTTAGGAAACTCACTTGACTTACTGAAAAGTAATGACTGAATATTTCTTGAAGACATCAGGAAGTTTTTCTTCATAATATATCAGTTATCACATTAAAGTAGCAAGTTGCATCATGTTATACTTATCTGCAATAACAACCCGAATAGAAAAATCTGAAAAATGATGCTAACCAATTGTTTTCGATGATTGATCGGCTGTAATGAAACAATCATCAAGTATGAGATTTTAACCAATTCCCAACACTAATGGTCTCCCATATCGTCTGCATCAACATCATCAGTACCCGTATTCACCCTTCTTCTTCGAAACATTTGCTTCTTTTGTTTCCTGCTACTTCTAATACAGGGCTTCGGGGGGTAGCCTGGTGGTTAAAGCGTCCGCTCGTCACGACGAAGACCCGGGTTCGAATCCCCATGGGCACAATGTGTGAAGCCCATTCCTGGTGTCCCCCGCCGTGACATTGCTGGAATGTTGCTAAAAGCGGCGTTAAACCATACTCACTCACTCACTCTTCTAATACAGGAGACTTCGTCTTCAGCCTCTTGTCCTCTTCTGTTTATTCTCCTCCTCCATCTTTTTCATTTTCCTTGTCTTTCTCTATCCCGTGTTCTCTATTCCTACCCGTTTCTTCCTTCTGTGCCTTTTCTTGATCTTCCATGCCGCTTCCAAATTCTACAGTCTTGTACCTTTCTTTCGTCTTGTACCTTTACGGTTTCACATTCGGTTCATCTATGGGTAGCCTAGTAGTTAAAGCGTTCGCTCGTTACGCTGAAGACCTGGGTTCGATTCCCCACATGGACACAGTGAGAGTCAGTTAAGCCATCTCTGGTGTTCCCCGTTGTGATATTGCTGGAATATTGCTGAAAATGGTGAAAAAACTAAACCCCCTCTTACTTTCAGTTCCGGCGATACAACAGAACAAACTGACAGAGTCGTTTGTCCGGGACCAGATCAAGCCACTCTTCTACACCAGACTGAGGCTAGGAGAGTTTGACCCACCGGAAATGAACCCTTACAACTACCTTGACATTGATGACGTCGTGCTGAGCTCCACACACCGACAGCTGGCTGTAGAGGCAGCCATCAAGAGCTTCGTCTTGCTGAAAAATGACAACGGTTTTCTGCCGATCAAATCACATTTTGATAAAGTTGCTGTAAGTAAACACGTACATTATTTATGTAACAGTAAAATACTTTAATTACACACTGAGGAAACTCGTTTTGTGCCCCGACTTGAATAAGATGAACCGCCGTTGTTAGGGAAAGAGATTACAACGGGTTTCACAGTAATATAGTTCTGTGATGGAATCACATAGGTCAAACTGTTTAAATCGATTTAGATGAAATCCAAGAAAATAGGAATCGTGATGATGTCAAAGAGTATCTGCGCCTGAAATGGAATTTGTTTTCTTTCATGTTTCTACTTTTCCTGTGTCAATTATCAACACGGAAAAGTGTTCGCTGGGAAACAACTATAGCAATATATTTACACTGGCAATATTTGTTTCGGGTGGAACTCTCTGAATCCGATCAGGGTTAACACGGACATGCAAAGGATTGTTATCGGGTGTCAGTAAGGTTCGAAGCGTAGACTCACAGAACGGGACCGCCTCCGTGGTGTAGTGGTTAGAGCTTCCGCCCGGAGAGCGGAAGGTCGCAGGTTCGATCCCCGACCGCGTGATACCAATAGACGTTAAAATATGGTACTTGTTGGTCCCTGCCTGGCGCTCGGCATTTATGGGTACAACAAGGACTTGTCGGCTCGGAGTCAGTATAATGTGTCTGAGTGGGGTATTCATGCTTCACTGCGGCATGGTATCTCAGTGGGCTAGCACTATAAAACCAGCTTCAGTCTGGGCTAGTACAAGCAGGCGCACATACACATGCACACGCATGCACGTCGTCATATGAGCGAAATATTCTCAAGCACTTTTCTCAAGTCTTTTTTGGTATGACGCGGTCGGGGATCGAGCCCGCGACCTTCCGCTCTCCGGGCGGACGCTCTAACCACTACACCACGGAGGCGGTCGGATCAAGCTTGAACCACGGACAGACAATGAAGCACACTGCCACGTAACGTTAATGTATGTGCATATATAATGATGCCCAGGATCTGAAGCATTTTAGGTTTGGTATATTTACAGGTTGTAGGACCAATGTCAAATGACACAGAACAACTGTTTGGTGACTACGCACCAAAGACCGACCCCCGCTTTATCACGTCCCCTCTGAGCGGGCTGCTGAAACTGGGCAATGCTGCCCTGTACGCCGCAGGCTGCTCCAGCACCGCTTGCAACGACTACAACAGGACTAACGTGGTGAATGCACTTGGAGGAGCTGATGCCGTCTTTGTATGCTTGGGGACAGGTATGATCTGTTCTTTCGTAACAAGAGATATTAACGAATCTCCATGTTCCCGTACCCTGATCATGAATGAGACAGATGAAATTTTTTTGAACGTGTTCGCTTGTTGTGTTGGAAAATTACTCACGAGGACAGTGTGTAGGATTTGTGCATCAATGGTTGTTGGAACATCATTTGTATGTGACCCTATCGAGCGTATCACGACCATGGCTAAATAATAACTTTCGACCTCGCAGGTTCTCCATTAACGTAGCCTCTTCATAAATCAGGCAGATGGATAGCCGAGTGTCCAATTGCGTTGGAAACCTGAGTCCGGTGTTATTGTGCCAAGGGATTGCAGTGATATAGCTGTAGAATCCCAGTCTCCCTCACCCTCATACAGATGTGTGAAGTAATCAGTGTACGGATGTATTTAGGTCAGGCCATCGAGGCGGAGGGACATGACCGACAAAACCTCACTCTGCCGGGACAGCAGCTGCAGCTTCTACAGGACGTCGTCAGCAACAGTGAGACATCTCGTGCTACATCTAAATCTGCTGCATCATCTATATAAGCTGCTTCATCAAACTCATCAACACCATCACCATTAGCATCGTCAACATCGTTAACATCATCAACACCTTTAGGATCATCAACATCATCAACACTATCCGCATCATCCACATCACCATCCGCTACATCATCAAGACCATCTACATTGCAACACCATCAACATCATCTTCAACATCTACTCCACCGACACCATCAACACCATTTACAGTATCAGCACTATCAACATCATCAGCACAATCGACATCATCTACATGTATATCATCCACATCATCAACACCATCCACATTATCAGCACCATCAACATCATCAGCACCATCGACATCATCTACATGTATGTCATCCACATCATCAACACCATCTACATTATCAACTCTATCAACACCATGACTTCATTTGAGACCGATGAATTGCTCACTAACACAAAATCTAAAAATTGCAACAAAACCAAATTTTGCAAAGTCACGTGAATTCGACAGACCAACTCTTAGGATTTGTCTCATAATTTTGGACACCCGAATAAAAAAGTTGTTTAACAAACGATAATTATTTTGCTGTCACTTTTTAGCTATTTCTTAAGAGGTGGACCACTTGCTGGTAGAACAGCCAGGTAATCAACAAGCATGTGCAGTGAAATTTCAATTTCACACGAAGAACTCACACACCTGGCTGTCCAACCAGCAAGTGGTCCTCCCTCGTAAGAAATAGCGAATAGTGACAACACAATAATGATCGTTAGTTAAACAACCTTTTTATTCGGCTGTTTAATATTATGAGACAAATCATCAGAGTTGGTCTGTCGATTTCATATGACTGTGCAAAGTTTGATTATGTTGCATTTATTAGATTTTGTGTTAGTGAGCAATTCATTAGTCTCCGATAAAGTCAAACGGACTATAAGCACGATGCAAGTACTGTGTTTTGCTTTATCGCTAATGCATGAACAATGTTGTCTGGAAATCAATCGCAGCAACCCCAATTCTGAAACAATGTGTCAATGTTTACAGATATACACATTTGTCTTCAACAGCCAACAAACCAGTGGTGCTACTGCTATTTACTGGGGGACCAATCAACATTAACTGGGCGATAACGGCTCCAGGTGTTGTCGCAATCATGGAATGTTTCCTTCCGGCTCAGGCGGCCGGCGACGCCATCTTTGCTTCCCTCACAAACGCCGGGGAGGGGTCTGTGCCAGCTGCCAGACTGCCTTACACGTGGCCGAGCAGTGATTCCCAGGTGAATATGTTCTTTAATTCAACACGTGGCCGAACATTGATTCCAGGTGAATATGTTGTCTAATTCAACACGTGGCCGAGTAGTAATTCTCTGGTGAGCATGTTATACAATTCAACACGTGGCCGATTAGTGATTCTCAGGTAACATATGTTATTTAATTTAACACGTGCCCGAGTAGTGATTCTCAGGTGAATATGTTATTTAATTTAACACTTGCCCGAGCAGTGATTCTCAGGTGAATATCTTATCTAATTCAACACGTGTCCGAGCAGTGACTCTCAAGTGAACATGTTATTTAATTCAACACTTGGCCGAGCAGTCATTCCCGGATGAGCATGTTATACAATTCAACACGTGGCCGAGTGGTGATTTCCAGGTGAACATGCAATCTAATTAAACAGTTGTACGGGCAGTGATTCTTAGGTGAATATGTTATAAATCCAACACGTGGCCGAGCAATAATATTCAGTGGGTCGTGAATGCCCGTGAACTGAAATAGATCATTTTCACAAACCCGTGTCTTCTCCCAGATTCCTCCGATGGTAAACTATTCTATGGCTGGACGGACATACTGGTACTTCAATGGAGAGCCGGCCTTCCCCTACGGCTACGGCTTGTCGTACACCACGTTCAGATATGATGACTTTACCTGCGACATCAACGTCATGGCGGGGGGAGGGGCTGTGGTGTAGTGTCACTGTCTACAACACGGGGCCATATGACGCTGATGAGGTCAGTGTACAAAGGGTTTAGTCTAGGTTCTGTCCTTAGCGGTCTTTGATTCAGTTATGATCCATATGGCTTGGGTGAGCTGGGGATTAATTGCGTCGCGATTTGGCGTTGAAAGCGTAATGATTTGAGCGGATATCACCCCAACTGTCAAGTTAAGAGCATAATGATATTGGGAGTTCGTCCCATCATGGACCTTCTTGCGTCATCTTGCATAGACACAAAGGTCATCTTGAACCACAGTCGATGCAACATCTTAAACATGCAGTGCAGGAACTGGGCAAACAATAGATCCAAAAGCTCATTTTGTCAGTGTTTGATCAGTGTCCTCATATGGCGTACGTGTGTGCTACATAATTTTAAAAAATACGATAATGAAACAGGGTACATATATATATATATACACACACACACACACACACACACACACACATATATATATATATATATATACACAGGTATATACTTTGATGGTTAATACATCTTTAACTTACCTCAGTTCGATGGATCGTATACTTTTAAATATTTCACAGGTTTCCCAGGCCTATATGTCGTGGCAAAATACGTCACTTCCTGTACCCAGAATTCAGCTGGTGTCGTTCACCAGGACGACCATATTGTCCGGTGAATCTGCAGTCTATGAATTTACACTGGATCCCAGGAACATGGCCGTATGGACAGATAACGATGGATGGGTGGTTCTACCAGGTAAATAGGATGTTCATGATTTTATCATGTAATATTGATAACGACTGGAACTATATCGATGGTTTTAGAAGTGAATCTATCAGACAATGTAGGAAGTCATTTGTCCACAACAATGGAAGACAATTACACGTGTAACTCACGCCCTCCAATACATCCTATGTTGCAGGTGCCATGAATATCTATGTTGGAGGCCAGCAGCCCAATCAGCGGATGTCTGTTGGATCTAACGTGTTGCAGCGGCAGTTTCAAATTATAGGAACTAAAATATTAGGAAAATATTAAAAATATACTACAGTGACCATTTTTTTGCTTCTCATTTTAATGTGACATCGTGCAATGCATTTTGTATTGTTTCTAGATTATCATGACTGGATTGTCCATGTCGACACAAAATACATATGACTCGTGTCGATTCCCCACATAGGTACAATGTGTGAAGCCCATTTTATGGTGTCCCCCGTCGTGCTATTGCTGGAATTTTGCTGCAAGCGGCGACCTCATTCAATCCTAAAATCATATACATTCAACATCTCGAAATAACTTCAGATAGCTTCCAAGAGATTGGAGATATTCCATACTGTGCTCGTTGAACTACGAGGACTGTTCAATAAGTAATGGCAGAGTGTAAAAACATACTGCATTAACATACAAAGTTGAGATTTTCACATTCCTTCGAAGTACTCCCCTCCGAAGTACATCATCACATTGTGACGTCATAACCACTTTTCATATTGGATATGACGTCACAAAATTTAGTCAGTTGATTAGAACTCATCTGAGGCTTTCCATAGCTGCTAAATGTGCAGGGGTTATATTAAAACCCTGATATATAGATATGCTAATGGTGTTGCCATTACGTGTTGAACAGCCCTCGTATACAGCTGTTAATTTCCTCAAAACATATAGTGCCAATAATGTGTTCTGAGTCATTTAGAGTTTGGTTCGGATCCACCAAGATATGGTATGTACACTTCCTCCTCCACGAGAAACCCGTGAAGATCCAGGTTAGAATTGATCTTAAGTAACCCATGCCTGTCGTAAATGGCAACTAACGGGATCAGGCTCGCTGGTTTGGTTGACACATGTCATCGCATCCCAACTGCGTAGATCGATGCTCATGCTGTTGACCACCGGACTGTCTGGTCCAGCGGCGTAAAACTAAACTCACTCTCTCCTCCACGTGACTTTGTGTTTGACACAACCCAGCTAACATGCTGCTACCCCCTAATTCACCTTGTAACAAAACAATCTAATGAATGAGAATGAAGTCAATATAACCGTAGTATAATTATACTACTGGCAAACAAGGATAAATTGAGCACCGACCTGACAATTGACCCGTATAAGCATGTTTGAGTGTCGCCCACTGGCGCTTGCCATTGTTAGCGAAGGGGCCCCAGGTTGTCCGCGATTAAGTGTAGTGCTACACCGACCACGTAAGAGTCTTATGAGCAAGGCGTATGCACCAACGCGCGGAATCAATTTCATCGTCATGCACGTGCACTAGCCTACATCTGCTCTACCTTTCACAAACCAAATGGGTTTGCTAATTGCCGTGCACCGCCTACTTCTCGTAAACGCGTTCTCTGCGCCGGTCCAACTTATCCTTGTTTGCCAGTATGTAGAAACACTATGTATCGTACTAAGCCTATCATTAAGTGAGCAATGAATTCTCATGCAGGAACTACTAGCCACATAAAGAAACTGTGCATTGTCAAAATATTATCCCAGTTGATAAGTACGATAACAATGTCAAAGGTACATATAAACTTTAATGGAGGGATCATGAGACCATAACAAGTCGGGAGAATTTCAATTGAAAAGTCAATCACAATGACGTCACGAGTCCACAAGCGGGACAGGGGTTGGATGTCACGCTAGATTCTCTCAAGTTCTGTTGCAAGGTCAAGGACGTTATCTGGCAGATGAAGACGGCGTAGACGTTGATCCATCTCGTCCCAAACATGCTCTATCGGGGAGAGATCCGGTGAATTTGCAGGCCAAGGCAGTAAGTCAACGTTGTGGTGTTGCAAGAAATCGATAGCAACCCTTGCCGTATGAGGGCGGGCATTGTCCTGTTGGAATGTTAACCCAGGGCCATGACGTTGCAGAAAAGGAATTGCTATAGGTCGAAGATTCTGATCCCTGTAGCCCACACCAGTTAAGTTGCCCTGAACAATCACCAAAGGAATTCTTTGGCGTGCTGTTATTCCACCCCAAATCATCACGGAACCACCACCAAAGCGATTCCTCTCCAAGACACAGGCCTGTGCATAACGTTCTCCCACGCGTCTATAGGCACGTTGACGTCCATCACTATGGGAACTGTTAAACCTGGACTCATCTGTAAAAACAATATTTCTCCACCAAAACAAGGGTCTGCGGACATGATTTCGGCACCACATTCGGCGAGCTTGTCGATGACGTTGTGTCAGGATAGGCCGTATGGCGGGACGTCGTGGTCTGATCCCGTGATGACGTAAACGTTGTCGAACTGTGTTGGGGTGGATACGACGAAGTCCTGGGATGGTTCGGGTAGTCATCACTGCAGTCTGAAACCTGTGGCGAAGATGGGTCACCCTTATCCATTGTCCTGTCTTGGCGTTGTTACACGTGGACGTCCAGAACGTGGCCGATCGATGACGTCATTTGTGTTCTGGTAGCGTCAGTGGAAATGTGCAGCCATTTGTCGTTGAGACATTCCCCCACGGACCATCCCAATGGCCTCATGACGTTGTGCAGACGTGAGCCTTGCCAAGTTATGCCTTTAATAGCCGTTTAATTTTTTGAACGTTCGCAAGGGCAGGGGTTAAGCTTTCCAAAGTGACAGTATTGTGTGGCATTCATTTGCTCTGTTTCTCTTTCCCGGAATGCACGTGCAACAACGTATTGCACGTCTCAAGGACGAACCCACTGACGTCACGGAACGTGGCACGTGCATGCATGTTGGATACATGTCACCAATCTCTGAGTTTAAAGCCTTATGTGTCTACACAGGTTTGATAAATTTAGATTTTAAATTTTTGTATGCAAAGTTTCTTTATGCGCCTAGTATATATTCTGGCATGTCCTCGTCCTAATTATCACACATTCACGGTCATTGCATATAGAGAGAGTCCTTCGTTGGACACTTGTTCACTGGACGTTTCAGCCTGAATGGACTCATTTATGTTAAACTGGTGTTAGGTTAATTGCCAGATTTGATTGTATAAGTTATACCCACCCCCTGCGAAGATATCCATAAATAGTCGTTAGTGTGTCATCAAGACACATTAACAAATACTTGCAAAGAAAGTATACATCAGTATTGCATTGCATTACATTTTGTTTCAACGACGCAGTGTATGAAAAAGATATTTAGGATTCAGCTTTTTTCAACGATGCAGTGTATGAAACAGATATTTAGGATTCAGCTTTTTTCAACGATGCAGGGTAAGAAAAACGTAGTTAGGATTCAGCTTGTTTCAACGATGCAGTGTATGAAAAAGATATTTAGGATTCAGCTTTTTTCAACGATGCAGGGTAAGAAAAACGTAGTTAGGATTCAGCTTGTTTTAACGATG